AAATAACTTCAACAACCTGGAAACTGAAGAGATTATTATACTGTATAAACTGAAGGGAGTGGAAGGTTTTGTGTTGAGTGCTGCCAACCGTCAGATTCAGAAACTGACAAGAATGCTACACAGTGGTATTTTTTAAAGCCTGGGGAGACTCATTTTTTTTTCCACTAGATGTATCAGATGACACCCGAAGAAGGCTCCACAGCCAAAACGTTGCGTTTCCTTTCTTCTCTTTTCAGCATGAAAAAAACCTTTACTTGTTCCTATGCAAACACAGTATTACTGCAGTATGTTTAAATAGTGGCACTGTTGTGTTGCTGTTGACATTTACATGAAGGAAACAGTTCTTGCAGCTTAATATGCAATAGTTCTTACCTTTGCACAGTAATTAAAACAGTTCCCAGACTCAGTTCACTCCAGTTGATTTTGCTTCCTCAGAAATCCTCCAACTTCCATTAAACCACAACCAAACTGAGACTCTGACCTTTGACCCCCCCCCAATGTCTCCACCTCTAATGTGTCTTCTTTAAAGGGTCAGTTCCAAATTTCCAAAGAGCCTGTAATCTCAGGATCTATCTTACTGTTAAGGAAATGATCACAGTGAAATAAACAAAGGCAAAATCTTAACATTAAGACTCAACTTAAGTAGTATGCTAAAGTCTAGCATATAGTTAGATCATCATATTTTTATATACATATACATTACAATTGTTAGCTACAGTATATACTTCATGACACATTTAAGACACCTATTCCATTCATCCATTTTCTAACTCTTTCATCCAATACGGGATCTCATGGAGCTAGAGCCTATCCTGGGAAGCAGATAGCGCAAGGCGGGACACTAGTCCATAGAAGGGCACACACAGACTCAAACACACACATTTACACTAGGACCAATTTCCCAAATGCTAATTAACCTACCAATATGTCCTTGCAGTGTAGGAGGAAAGCAACACAAATACGGGGAGATCATGCAAACTCCACACAGAGAGTACCCCAGGAATTGAACCCATTGCCCTAACCACTGCACCACAGTGGCTCCCTAAACACTTATTGAATCAATATATTTTGATCAAAAATCCACAAGTGCTTTGAATGCAGCCATTCCCATTTACCTTTGAATTGTGGAATATTGATTTCCAGTACAGAAAATAAGAGAATGAGGCTGAATCATTTGTTATAAGAAAAGGAATGAATATCTGCTCCTATTCTACCTTCTCAGCTGGGACTCAGTTGAGCATTGAGTGGACAGAATAGAGAGCAGTAAACTGGGGGTCCATTCTTGATAACTGCTGGGGGTATCTGTGGGGCCCCAAGGGCACAGGTTTCATTTCCAATGAACGCATTCACACAGGGGACAAAGAGAGAAGCAGTGGCTACAACTGAAAGGGAAAAAGGGACAAAGCAGTGCTCCGTGAGAGATGCCCGTTTGCTCCAGGACCTGTCCCCTGCTCTGGCAGACAGTCATGGGTGCTGACAGGGCCCCTCTCTGGTGTCCTCTTGCAGGGACACGGCTGCCCAGCACACTCGGGGCAGAATGATGCTCCCGGAGAGGAGGGGCGGGGGGGGGGGGCGCCTCTTCAGCTATGGAGCTGCTTGTCAGAGGGCTAAGCGGAGATCGTCAGTGACAAGTGGAGTGAATATCCGGGGAGACCCCGGGCATCTCTCTCTTATGTGTCCTTGTGTCTCGCAGGAGCGAAGAGGGGAAGATGAGGTGAGGACAGATCTGACAACCAACCCGCAAAGAAAGCAGAAACCATCTCCCGTGTCATAGCGAGTAGGTGTTTTCACCACACCACAGCTGCTCATTGTGATTGCAGTCAGGTACCTAACAGGTAACTATGTAACTTCTCCCACATGCCTGTGTAGCCCACTGGCAGTTTTCAACCTGCTCTCAGTGCACAGTACTTCACTCCTCTCCTACTGCCTGAAGTACAGTATTCTCTTACATTAGTGATACACGAGACAAGTGAAGCAGGTTTCTCCAGCCAGAAAACAAGTCCTGTTGCAAAAAGCACCTTGATGTTAATTCCCTTTGCATGACCTGCATCGCAAAACACTTTCAGTCTTAATTCAATGCGTCCCACTTCATCAAATTAAACTTTTTATTATTCTGGGTAAAATGTTAGCATGGGAAATAACTTCAGAAGAGTATGCCAACAGGATCTTTTTTTAATTAGTCTTTTACAGTAACTGATAGACAGTTCATTTGTTGCAGATGGTTCCGTCAACAACACCATGTCCAGCATTTATGATTTGATATCTGGGGAAATAAAAAGGCCTGGAAATAGGAAATAGGAAATAGGAAATAGGAAAAGAATAAATACTGAAAGAAATGTTCTTTAACATTCTTTCAATGCATTTTGAGTTATTATGCATTTATTTTGCTGACAGGTTATGCAAAGTAACTTACAAGGGTTACAATTCCTTATTCTTTAGATCCAAATTTTCATACTAATTTGTGCAGCTAGATTTGCTAAAGTAACTCAAGCATACAGCGGCAGTGTATCCACTTGGGAACTGAACGTGTGACTCTCTCTGTTTAGGAATCCATATCCCTGATAACCATTTCCTCACCAATGTAGTGGTTACAAGACAAGGAGCCCCAATGTCAGGCGAGTGGAAGAACAATTTTACTGTGTATCTCAGTAGAGAAAAAATAAAAATCATTCTTGCAGTATGTTTTTCCCCAGAATGACATTAATTCCCACACCTGTAAAGGCAGGAAGACACTTAATACTCAATGGAGCAACACTCAAGCTCAAAGGAGAACTCGGTTTATGAGGAAACAGAGTTATATAGGTTTAAAGAAATACTAAGGGCTGCAACAACAGAATGAAAGAAATATTACTGCATTAGTTCACAAGGTTTAGAGAGCTGAGGCCCAGTAGTCCCTCAGCCATGAGCATACATGCGCTGTTAATGCCTTTACTGTTCTGGCACTGATGTGCCATAACTAGGCTTTTTCCCCGCTATGCTGGATATGGGATGATCACTTGCATTTTGGAGTGAATATACATGACCTAATTAATCACTGCAGTGCACTCGATCTCTGCTCCATCAGCACTGGGATCTCCCCTCGGTCCCAAGCAGCTCGAAAACAAAGAGCACTGTTATGGCTGGAAAATCCTATGGTTCCCTCTGCTGGCCAATATACACAGTGCATCGTTCTCTAGGTCCCCTGTTCCTATTACGATGCCAGAATCTCAGTACAGGGAAGTACCCGTGCCTGTTTTGTATAACCACTATTCATCTGGGGAACAAAGGTTTGCTCACTGGCAGCTGTCATAATGGTTTAATGGCTCAGACAAATCACAAAACTGGTCAAATACCTGGCTGATGACATTCAGTGCAGACAAGTACAGAGTTTAATGAATGAAAGGGTCTCTTGGGAGTTCTGTACATCCTTTATCTCTATTGTCAGTGTGATGGATAGGTCACAGGACTGCTCTGACCTGTCAGTCACTACGAGTGAGAAGCATTTTCAAATAGGGTAGTACAATGGTATGACTTTCACTTTTTTTGTCCACTCTGTGTTTGCATGGATTATCGCTGGATGTCCTGCTTTCTTTCCACGTCCGGAAACATGCTGGCTAGCTCAAGCGTGTCTTTAAAATGTCTCTGTGTGCTAGTGGATGAGTGTGTCCTGTGGTCTCCCACCCAGGCTGGACTCCTGGCTTACAATGGCTTACAATGGCGACACACGGAAGAGTAGAGTGTTACATGGACATACAGTAGCAAAACAAAATTATTTAAGGTGGTAAATACTGTGCTTGAAGAAGTATTTATGAAAAAGACTTAGGTGTTTATGTTGACACATCATTAACATCGAGACAACACCCCCCTGTGGATCGGGATGAAATCCATCTGTGGCATTTCACGTGAGAATCTAAACTAATCGCAATTGAAATTGGAACTGGAATTCACTTGGAACTGGCCACAGGCGCGTAACCACTCAGGAGGTGTCACATTAAATTCTGCTACATTCAAATTGTGGCATGTTACAGAAAAGACTGCTGCTCTGGAATCAGTCAGATGTAGCCCCAGCCGTATTCTCAGGCTTAAAGAAATGTCCTGCTCGGACAATCGAGAATTGTTTCAGTCTTGAACACAGAATAGTATGAGGGGACCTGATTCAAGGATTCAAAGTCCTAAAATCATTGACAAAGCCAACTCAACGGACTTCTTCACAAGAGGTAAAACACCAACTTGAGTACTTAAGTGAAAACTAGGGGGAAGGGGCTTTAAAAGTATTATATTATACAAAGTGCTTGGGAATAAGCTAGCCAGTCAATATCGTTGAAGCCAATATGCCGGCTTCCGTCAAAAAGCCATCTGGATGAGATCTATGGATCAGTAAGCTAGCGACAACCACGTGGGATCAGCTACCATGAGAGACTGAATGACCCCATCTTCTCTGCATCTTTTCTTAGGTTCAAGATCAAGCTCTTATCAAAGTTCATCATGTATAATCTGCGCAGTGGTTTTGTAGTTTTCCCTACATGTGCTTTTTCACCATGTTTATACTATGCATTTTCTCAGCTTTGGCACAGTTTCCCGTAGGCTGTATCATGTTTTACCATACTTTTATATCCACTGCCACAATTTCATTTGTTTTCTAATTCTTTACTCTGCTTTTACCTGGGTGTACCACTATGTGGGTGGGTGTGCTAGACTTTAAACCAGGGTAGCTTTTAATGAATACCAATATGATCCACCTCCACAATCCCACAGCTGACATGAGAACAGATAACACGTAGGATCATATACAAATTTAGTAGTCAATACATTTCTAGTGGTCTGGTGCATGCAAAGTTAAATTGGACTGATTTTGAAGCTACTGTACAGTATGTTAAATATACAGTGTGTAAACAGCAGATCTACGTAAAGAACACATTTAATTGAGATGCTGTGTGCTTAGCAGGGAGTATGTTAACTTTTAATCTGCCCATATGGGTTAACCCCTCTTTTGAAAAGTAAATGCACAACACAGGTGAAAGCACATTATTTAAGTACAACTTTTATTAATACTGGAATCATCACAGTGCATTTTTGTTACGTTAGCAGTGACTAAAGTTAACAAATTAAAAGGATAAATATTACAAAATATGGGGGGGAAGAGAATGCCTGAAAAAACAACCCAATAAATTAAAAAAGGGACTGGAAAAAAAAGACAGAAAACAACAGCACCAGCAGCGTTACGTAACTTCACTGGAAGGATAATTTCTTTTGTACAAAAACAATGCACACATCATATCTCTTCACAATAATAAAAATAATCATTAAAAAAAAGGAGGCAAAGGTCAAGTTCGGAGAAGCAGTGTTTTTAGCTTCAGAACCTCAAGGTACTCAGACTGGTAAAGGGCTCAATAAGGTGCATGCACCTTGATTTAGGAGAAATGTACGTGATGCACTTCAGTTTGGAAGAGGGGGCATGTTTGTTTGGGGTAGTCTTGCTCATCTGGGGTAAAATCTGAATCTGCATCATAACTCTTCTAATGCAATTTCATAGAGGGTCTAGTGCCTGGTTTCAGAATATTAGCATGCCAGTGTTACTGTAGCTTGCAGTGCCTGCAGTCATTGCCAATAGAAAAGGAGGATTTCTAATTGGATTGCACTGGGGAGCATGTTCATTGGCACGTTCTGTTGACCTTAAAGATGTGCTCTGGGCTGCCCCACACCATCCCGGATTGTATAGTAGAATAAAGAAATATTAAAAAGTCAGGGGTTTTTATAGCACATTAGCCTGAAATTAAAGGCATACGGTCTCAGAATAAGCTGAAGTCTATATGTGAATGCAGGAGTGAACATTGTGAACATTCAAATGAACATCAGTTCGTTTATGTTTATGTACTAATCACTGGCCAAGGACCATGGTAAAGCATTGAGCTAAACTACTGGGAAACTAAATGGATCCTATGCAGAAGCTGAACCTTTTTCATTTTTCATGTTGACAGATGTTAATAAAGCTTGCCTGCGCAGTTTAAAACAACACTTATATACACAGCAAAACAATTATAATTATACTCCAGGCTATTTACAATTAAACACAGCAGTAAAGTCAACAAAAGTTTCTATTTCAAAAGCAGTGAACGCATTTAATTTGGAAAATAAAAAAGAGAAAAGGTCTTATCTGTCTTTAGACTGTGATCAAAAGTGCTTTGACAGAACATTGATGCTAGATAATCATCCACAGAGACATCATGGCAACTGAAAGATTATCCACAGTCACAGGAAGAAGTTGGAATGAACTGTTAGTTATCAAGATACAGAATACATCTCATATTTCACACCACATTTATGCAGAACACAGCTTAGAGTTTATCTTTTTTTTTGTCATGTTAGTTTAATCACCCCTTAATTTTCCTGTCCAATTATATGTCTCCTCTAATCAATTAACTGAAAAGGAAAGACTTATTCAAGAGAGACCGACCCCTTGCAGAAATCCAATAATGAGGTGTGTTTTGTTTTTCCTTCTCTTGCCTCACAACTTTTATCTGGAGTCAGCAGTACCAGACATTCCACTGCAATTCTACAGTCTCTATAACAGCCTGGGGGCTGCAATGTGGAGCTGTGTTGCTGTACTTCTATAAGTCATCAGGAGGATATTTTCGCACACTTGCTGCTCAGGTGTGGATGGTACGCTGGAGTGGTGATTTTTCAGCAGATTTTTTTTTAGGTTACAAAAAAAGCTTGGGCAGAAAAGCCCAATCAGATTTCAGGTATCCTGCCACCATGGGTCAGAATTAACGAGACTGCAATTCTTTGAAGTGCCGCTACATCATGTGAGCACTGTGAAATCACTTGCTGTAGCCTGAAACACCTTTTTTTCCAGATACGATGATTGCTTTACGGAAACAAGATGAATTCCCTTGTGCTGCAATCCCTGCCCTAGTTTTTCTGTTTTAGTACTAAGTCGATCACATTAACAAATCATCCTGTTGTCTTTCCTCGAAAATCCTAAATGCTTTGCTTTGCATTAGGCCTCTGAAAACAAGAGAGTTACATCCAAAACAAAGTGTTAAGAGCACTCACTTTACCCCAGGGAAAGAGGAGACATTTAAATTGAGGAAAATTTGATTTTTTAAACAGAAAAACAGTGACTAAAGCCTGGCTTTAGTTTCACATTAAGTGACATCAACAGGTATTTTTTCACCAGATGATGTCAGTGCTAACAACACAGTGAATTAAAAAGGCTGTGCAGGTTTCCTAACCTATTTTATTTTACAAACCCGTGAACAGCAGTCAAATCAGTACAGAACAAACAGCATACACCGCAAATGCAGTACATTGATCATCATTGAATCTTCGCCACTGGATTTGCTAGAAATACTCCCCTGCAGTCCTGCCTGACTGTCCTTACAGCCTGCACCTCTGCTGGAGATCTGGCCAACTAGTCCTGCCTCAGCAAACAGGGATCCAGAGCAGTAAACTCAGTGCTGTCACATGGTGACATGGTCTACCAGTTTTGAACCAGTGTTCTCACTTGCAGTTTAACTGCAGGACACAGTACCATCTCCAACCAGTGGAGTCTCAGTAAAACTACTACTGCTCCTAGCTAGTCCGGACAGCTGGAGAAGTGCCCCTGGTACAATGTGTACAAACGCAGAACTGGGGTCTTTTGAACTCCCCATAGACACTTGTGGAGGTACTCTGTTTTGCAAAAAAAAAACCTTTCTGGACACAGAACTGTATAGAAAAAAGAGAGTGAGGATCTAAAAAGGAAAAACCAATCTGTTTGAAGGCCTAACAGTAACACACCTCATTGTGAGGACAGGTGTAGAGGCGCCGTAGCGATAGCAGAATTTCGTGACACAAGGGCTTTCACAGTGCTGCTTGAAAGGACCAACACCAGAATTAAAGCAACACCACAGGCGTGACCATTGTGGATGTTTTTCAGGGTGTTGATGAGCTACCTTCTGCAGTTTCAAACTTAATTTCTTTTTTTCCTCGTCATTCATCCCTCACCAACCCTGTTTCCGGGGCGGAAAGAAACACAACATTGTGCAGCTTCTCTTGTGACATAGATTGCACAGTTACACGTCCAGACAGCATCATTTCATTTCGGGTTCAGCTAAAAACACATGCCACTTTGACCCCCAAAGACTTGACTTTTGCCCTTTCTTTTCAGTACGTCTAGACAATATTAGTGTCAAACACTTTTGCAATGCGACTTATACAATTAGTGTTCACCTTCTTATACATATATACAAGGTAATGGCCTGTGCTTTACGGGAGACAACAGATGAACACTTGGTGGACATGGTCAAGACAGGAGGGCAGAGGCCCTGTGCTGAAGTCATTGGGTTTGTGCTGCTGTGCCCCATTTCAGCTTTTTCTTCCCAAACCTCCCTGTCCACACAGAGCTTCATAAAAGGCAGAGCAGAGCACAGAATTGATGGGACACGATTTCACACTCGTCTGCCAGCACTCGTTGCGAACATTATACATCTAAACTATTTAAATATACCTTCTGAGAATCCCTATGAAGGAATTCACAGAATACAGTTTTAATTTACAGTTTGTAAATAAAATATTGCATGGGAAATCTGCATTTTCTTACATTTCATTACATTAATGCAGCTTATATGATAGCATTGAGTATCTAAGAGTTTAATAATACAGACCATGAAAAGACACATTACCCGTTACTCCAGTTCAGAGAGAATTATTGCATATTAACACTACGATATGACCGACATACTGGCAGATATATAAACCTATCCTGTCTGGAGTCTGCTGACTTTTCAAGTTGCAAGACTGTGTGTTTTCTTATTGTGTCTTAATTCATAGACTGATTAGGTCATTGGGAATATTTTTTAGAATAGTCTTTGATGAAATCCACTTAATATAAGTTACGTATTTTTTAAGTACGATCCTTCACTAAGAATTATCATGAAGAAAATGAGCTACTAGTATGTACTGTATGTTGGAATTTTGCAATCCAGGGATCATTTCCTGTGCTTTTCTTTCAGTGTGAATTACACTTTGGCTTGTTTGTCTCAGGGCCACAGAGAGCCCACACTGGAGTTTTTGATCTCCAATTTCTCAATTTAAGGAGACCGTACCTTACTAAACTATTACATGTTAAGGAATCTCATTTGGTACTTACTGTAAAAACAAATTATAATGTGGTAACGAATTTGATGATTTAGCTGATTAAATTAACCATGCTCTTTCAGAAGGTAAAGAATCTATTCATTTTTCATCTACTTGCATATATAAATACAAAACAATAATATTTTGAGTGTTTTTTTCTTTTTCTATGGTTTAATTTAATCTAGATGCATGTTATTATATGAAGTACACATTCTATACAAGGTAATTATTGGTCACACAATATTCTAATTGTAAAATTAGAAAAAAAATATTTACAGCGTGTTTTTAAATTCTACTTTCTACGCTTTCTGGTCTTGTGTAATGAATGGCTATGTAAAATGGGGAGTGAAAAAGAAAAAGCATTTTCAACCAATGATCCTGTGCTACACAAATTCAATGAAAACCATGAGGACCAGTATGAGCACTGTAACAGTATGTGTCCTTGGCAGTATTTTGCCTGACGTTACCCACACAATCAATGCAGACAATCATAGCTTTCCTTTTCCTTTTTGATCCCCATACTATTGAAATGAAAAACAAAAGAATGTCTTATGGGATTCATTTAAGTGCACTTTAACTCTACAGGATCTAAAGCATACAGCAGAAATGGCAACACCTCCAATCCGCCCAAATATATCAACAACATTACATGACTGATATGCGGCACACAGGCAGTACTCACCAAATGAACTCTGATATCCTGGTGTATTGTTTGTACACATCACTAATACTTTCATGGTGTTTAAGTTTAGATGTTTTCCTCCAATTTACAGAACAACTGTCCATTGTTCAAATGAGGTTGTATTTTTTTTTTAATTGGAGTGAAATCCTACTCCCAAGTGTCTATTTCCTGAGCTGAATCACCAACCAACATCCCCTCACTACAAACCACTCTCTCTCAGTACAACTAGCTACCCTCTCTACAACCCACCGAAACAGCAGATTACATCCCCATCGTTCAGTGCCCTGCATTTCCTGAAACCCAGCATTCCACGGCAAATACAGAAAACTAAAAATAATATTGCTTTCCATTCTTTTAAAAACAAAACACCCCCCCTCTGTCGATATATCCCCAATCGCTCTGCGTCACTTCCTGTATCCCTCTCTGAATCATCTCTGAGATTATTTTTCCCTCTGTAAATTGTTTCATCGCACTTACACCATGTACTGTATTCCTCAAAATAACATTTAGATTTTGACCAACTAACATGCAGAGCCTGGTTATTGTAATGACATGTCAGTGTTGTGAGGCTGCAATGACACCTAGTGGCACAAACTCAGAACTCACCTCTAAAGAATCAAAGAACTTTTTCACTCGTTCTCTATACATGTTTTTTTTTCTGGAAAAGTGGTTCGCGGCCCATTTTAAATCTGTACCACAGAGTTACAGTGTATATCTGCTTGTCCTTTTACATAAAGACATCAACAACGAGAAGAGCAAAAAGGAACAAACATAAAATAATCCCACACTGCAGAATCTTTCAATGTCATCCCTCTCTTTCCCTCAAGCATATTTATTGCTTAATTCTAGACTGCAATCGTACACTCTCTTTTTCTAAAATACAAACCTGCAAACTGACCTCACACTCTGATCAAATAGCACAGCTTCACATTCAAACTCTTCCCTGGTTCAGTAACGAAGATTTGAGGGCTGATTAAAAACTAAGAATGAATAGTGAGAGCAGCACAAACCCCATTCTGAAATGACAGAAACTGATCTACAGCACGCCTGTCAGCCCCCGCACCCTGAACCTGTCTGGCCGACAGAAAAACAGGCAGACGGAGACACACAGAAAGGGAGGGGTTTCTGTTACCATGGAGTCAAGCCTAGTATCTGACGTCCAAAAATGCGCAGAGGAACTTGTGATTAGTAGCTCCTGGGGAAGGGTCCAGTTGTCCCCCACCTCCTTCTCCGTCTGTGTGTCTGCGAGAGGGTGGGGGATGGCCAAAAATTATAAAACAAGGTCCCACAGTAAGTCAGTGCCTCGCTACAGTCAACAGATCCGGTGGCAGCGTTAAGATTAAAAACATGCGTCTGTACACGCTAGAAGGATAGTGACCGAGGCCTTTTCTTTTTATTAACATTTATTTATTATTTACTTTAATTACTTAATTACTCTTTTCTCTTTAAACATATTTCTTTTTTTCTCTAAAGAGTCAGTGAAGAGGGGGGAGGGGAGCGCCGAGCGGGCCAGGGGTTCTCTCCCGGGTTATCACAAAATCCGAGGTGCCGACCTGTCGTTGGTGAGGGTCTTGCGAAGCCGCACCCCGCGCCGGATCGCGACCAGCATGTCCTCGCCCCCGGGGGCAGGGTCCTGTGAGGGGGCGGGCCCGGGGGGAGGGGCCTGGGGGTCGCTGCCGGGGTCGTCGCCCGGGAGCGAGGGGAAGGGGAACTGGCCCTCCCCCAGGGCGTGAGCGCTGGCCACCAGCTCGCCGATCTTCTCCACAAGACTGTGGCGGTTGGCAGCCAGGAGCAGGTCCTCCTCCGTGCTCAGGGGAGGTGGCGGCTGGGCGTAGACGCTCATCTCCAGTCCAGCGCCGGAGCCCCAGGCGGTGTTGGGCAGGCTGAGACGCTTGGGGGAGGCTTTGACATAATCCATGGCGTTGGGAGACGTGTCGTCCGCGTAGAAGACACACTCCTCGCTGCCCACCCTGGCAGGGGGGCCTGTGTAACTTGGGGAGTCGGGCACTGTGGGTGTCTTGACTGGCACAATGGGCGGGCGGATGGGAATGGGCCCGGCGTTTGACAGGGTGCGTCTGACTGAGGGTTTGGTGGAGGGCGTCCGACGAATGGTGGCCACTCCTGGGGTACCACTGCCCCCACCTCCTCCTCCTCCGCCTCCCGGATGGGCCCCCGGGGCACCCACCCCGCTGGGCAGCCCCGCAGTGCTCGCCGGCCGCTTGGTCTGAATCATGCGGCGGTAGTTCTGGGCGATGTTGCTGTTGCGCGGGATCGTGGAGGACTTGTCGAACTCGGTCTGCACGTCCCCTTCTGCGTCCCCGTTCACTGAGTAGCAGTCATAATCAGACACTGGAGATGGAGAAAAGCCCGTTAGCCAAATGATTTACTTAAGGAAATAACGACTGGACAACCTGAAGGAGCTACGGTACTTAAATAAGTTACAACTAGCCCTCCGTTGAATTTAGCAGTGAGGTCCCTCTTCAGTGTTGGCCACCTCATCACACCTCACTCTTTAGTGTCCCCCAGAAAAGCAATAAGCTTTCTGCTTGTCCAAATGACAACTGGAAAGGGACAGAGGGAGGGAATTGGTCCTTCTTTAGGCTTCAGAGGAGGAGCCTCTGGAGACACTGGGCTCATTTCTACAAGAGAATCGACACCTTTCGCTTCTACACATTCAGGGAAAAGGCCCAAATGAAATACAAGGAAACCCATCCCATGTTGTAAAAGACCTTTTATATATCATTCCTAATCAAGGGGGATTAACAAGGAAAAGATCAACAATAGGTCTGCTAGTTAGGTTTATTGACCTTCAGATATCTGGAACTGATTTCGCACATCTGCCCTTTTTGGAAAAAAAAAACTGAATGTCACAGGTACTGCACCAGGAACATTACAGAGCCGAGAGACATTAGCCTTTTCCGTGTTGCTTCAAGCCCTTGAGACGAGGCCTTGCAGTCACCTTGGGAGGGGATGGTGTCCTCAGAGCAGGAGGGGGTGGTGGTCTGTGTGCTGTAGCCGCTGGAGTACTGCAGGGAGTCACGGCTGCTCTTCTGGTGCTCCATGCTGAGCCCCCGGGTCAACACCATGGCCAGGTCACTGGCAGCAGGGGAGACCTCCTCCCCGTGCTGAGAGACACGACGGGGGACAGGGGAGGAATCACTAATATGCTGTGTGCTCCGAGTAACATTTGCTTCTCTTTAATATTAATACTTCATGAAATAGAGATAAAAGCAATTATCCGCTCCAGTCATTACTGCGATTATGTATGCTCTTTATACGGGAGCGAAATATCGCCACCGACACCAGCTGTGTACTCAAAGTTCAGAAAGGAAATGATGGGATGTTACCTTGGCAGCGATGGTGGCTGGAGTCATCCTGGTCCTCTGAGGGTCCTCTGGATGTAACCCAGCATACCCTGGAGGGGGAGGGCCTTGCTCTGACTCTCTGAGGCGCTCTATTGGCTCCTTTCTCCGCTGTAGTGTGCTGACCAATGGCTGGTCATAAGGACCTGGTTTAGACCAATCCTGGAGAGGTGGGAGGGGTTATCGAGAGGCACAAAAAAGCAATTCCTACCCCAGCAGCAAGGGTGAAATCTCGGATCCAGACAGTTCAGTGGCATGGCTTTTCAGTTCATATAAACCTGATTCTTGAGCACACTGGACTCAACTCTTGTCCCACGAGTTCTTTTCAACAAAACAAAAACTCAGTTGAAAAATAATACTTCAAATTATATCTTATGCCATTACATATATCTCCTGAGAGATTTCAGAAAGTGGTCGAAACTGGGTTGAGCTGACCATATCACGACAAAACAGGAACACAAGTTAGGGAGCAAAGTAATGAATTAATGAGTGAGTTTAAGCAGAAGGTGAGCAAATTAAACCAAAGCATTAACTGAAGAGGCAAAACAAGCAAACATCAAAACAGAGAAAAAGAAGAAACTCAGAAGATAAAGTGCAAATGAAAACAAACCTTCCAGCAAGGAACCTTTGATGTGGGAGAGTAAGTGTTGGATCCAGGGGGGCAGTTATAGGGTGGGGACGCAGGAAGAATGACAGAAAAAGGCCTGATGGAGCCAGTGTGAGAGATAGCAGGGCGGAAGGTAGCGAAGGACGAGCCAAACTGCAGAACGGAAAGACAACATAATCAGAGCAGGCATGATCTAGGGCAGCCATGACACTGGGATCCAGGGGGCCTCCATGAGAAACCACTGGACACAGAAACATATATGACCGTGGTCCACAGGACAGTGTGGGAGGTAACTATGAATGAGAGGCATACAGAGCAGGGATGAATAACACCCAGTTTACTGCACCACAACCCTCATTTCTCATGATCACCAGGTTTGCCTATCTGCTGGAATACAGTCAATTCAGTTTAAAAAGCAGAGTAAGAAGAGCGAAAAATGATTTTTTTTCAAAATACCATCACCGTATCCATCATTTGAACAGAAACTATTCAGTTGCAATTTTACGTCCTACAGATTTATAGAGGAAAGACACCATACTTACTATTCTTATACTTCAAGATGCAGTATTTCTCTATTCATTTGTGATTAGATACTAGCGGACCCGCTATAGGTTTGTGATCTAATGGTACACCGCAAGTTTTGCAAGTCTAGTTTGTGTTTACAACATCAAATCTCTGTTGAAAACCTTGCGATGATGCAATGTTTTCTGACTTGCGATGATGCAAGGTTTTCTGAATAGCAAGATCTGAGGGTGTGCCCTGCTTATTCTGTCCCCCCCACTTCAATTTTACATCTGCAGAATGAGTCCACACAGCCCGTTTGTCGCATTTGGACTTCTGAGTTTCAAAATAGGCTCCGTAAACCTATCACATATTGTATGTGCTTAAAAAAGCCCTTTTCTTCATTTGGTAATACTTTGCAATTTTAGGATTTTTTTAATCCACTTTCACACTTACAGTAGCAGTGTTCAACGCACATGACCATGGTTGTGAACTACGATACGTCTCTCCCCCCCTCCCAGAAACGGCAAGCAAGGTGAGAGAGTGTGAGCGTGTGAGCAGAGCCCTGCTCTGAGACAGGGGCCGTGAGACTGAGTCCGTGGGTGTGAGAGTGCAGGTGCTCTGGACAAAGCCAGAGGCGAAGGCAACACTGGCAGGCAGGAGGGCTCTGAGTAGCAGCACGAGGGAGGAGCCGAGCGTGAGTGCGTGAGGTTGAGGGGAGTGAGCGAGCGTAGGATGAAGAATCACCTTTTCTCCCCCTGACCAGGCCCCGGCGGTAGATGTTGAACTAACCGAGGTGGGGGAGCTGCACTCGCTGACGGACTGGCAGGTCTCCGACGCCTCTGAGGAAGCTGAACTCGATGACTTCTGCACAGCAGAAAGGCAGAGATTTAGGGGGACTGCACGCCACTCTGCAGCACGGGCTTAAGAATAACGCAACCTATCACTGCCCTATAAATACAGCGACACCTGGCACTTTTATTCGAATAAAATACTAAAATAGCGTTAATTGCAGCAACCATCTGGGCACCAGTGAACGTACCTCATAAACCAGATGTACTCAGTGCCAGTCCTTGAGGATGACAATGCCTCAAGTTTTACAGGTCTGCTAAAACCATTAGTGTCCATCAGTGTGACTGAGGAAGAAGTTAAATTAGCTAAAAAAGGGAGTAGTACAAAACCTTAGTTAAGGAGTTAGAAGAGTTAGGGATCCCTAGTATAGATTCTAGTATAGTATACTATATCCCTATACCCCTAGTATAGTAATAAGAAAGAAGAAAAAAGTACTGCCTCCTTGAACTAGAATTATTCAAACATACAAGGAATCTTACACGATGAACTACATCGAAAGAGAACGGAAATGTAGACACTTGCATGAGATCACTGTTTTCTTCAGTACCTGTCACCGTGCTCTGTGCAGAGGGGGCACCTACCTGGCTGGTGATGTCAGAGGGCATGGGCGAGGGGGGCTTGGAGTAGACAGCAGCGTCCTGGGAGATGAAGCCTGAGTCGTGGGACGAGACGCTGCTGAGCCTCTGGGCCCCCCCGGGCGGGGGCTGAGCCAGGCTGCGGTAGCGATAGGACGAACTGGGTGAGTGAGTCTGAGAGCCACTGGAGGAGCGGGAGGCGCTACTGTGGGCGCTGTTTACACTGCTGGAGGGGGGAAGGGGGTGGGGCAAGGGCGCATGAGACAGGAAGTGCAAGGGAGTGTGGAGGAAGTGTCATGGGGGAACAGGGTGGAAACAGCGTGGTGGCAGCGGTGGGGTGAGCAGACAGGACAAAGAAGGGGTGAGGCGAAGGGGGTACGGAAATTAAGGACGGAAGTGGGAAAGGACAGCAGGATCAGGGGAGAGAGGGGCGGGGCCACAGGAGGTGCACAGAGGGAATTGTACAGAGAATCGTGGGGAATACGGATAGTGTGTGTACCCAAGAAAAGAGGAGGGGGAGAGAACAGACACAAAAGAAAGGAAAAAGAAGTAAAGTGAGGAAAATAAGGAGGAAAACAAAAAAAGAGAGGCATTTACAGATGGAGGAGGGAAAAAGAGATGAGCGGGCACAGGAGAGAGCGAGGTGATGGAGAGACCGACAAGCCATAATAAAATGGAGAAACAGGTGGAGGACAGGGGTCAGGAGAGCAGGAGGGGAGCGTGGGGATCGGAGCAGCATGTAGGAGGAAGAGGTGAGATTTTGTTCCAGGTGACAGATAAGGGGTGGGGCGGGAAACGTGGAAAAGACAAGTTGAGAGAAGGTGAGAACAAGAGACCGGCAGGCAGGAGCAGACACAGCTGCAGGTAAGGAGACGGGTGTGAGTCAGTCACGCCACCCTCCTGGAGCAGCTGGCACACACACAGCCCCAAGGGCATGCTGCATGCTGTGGCACAGTGGCAAAAAAGGCCGAGAGACAGCCATGTTACATGCGCATTTTGCCATTACACAGATTGCTCGGTTATATGACAAGGTAAACAGAGCAGCAAGCTGGTCTTAGTACTCACCAGCCTTAGAGAAACTTACAGCAGGAGGAAACCCAGAATACGTTTTGTTTCACTCACTTCATTGTTAATATCTAACTGAATTAGGACAAACCTGTACTGGTCAAAATGGAACCTTATAATTTACATCATGCATTTGGCTGTTCAAAGTTTCATAACTTATGGAAAAAGACCTACAATAGTAACAGCTCCAAAGTTTGGTTAGAGACATTTTTCAGAGTCATTTACCTTCAGCAAAGTGCACACATTATCTAGTCTTCTGAAGGTTTGTCTCTGAGCCATGGTGATGACTTAAGGATCCCTGTCAAGCTTACATTAAATGTGTAGGAACTAGAATTTATCATGCTGCCATCTGGAATTAGGTTTGATACATTCTGAGCTTAATGTGGGGATGCCACTCATTGTAGAGGGGCCTGGTATTTTAAGTGAGTTGAACTTCAATGCAGGAATTTACAATCACACAGAGACTGGCAGCAGGCATTACTGAAATTGCTGCACTGTCAAATAGTACTGTTTTTCAGAACATATTGATTAGCAGACAGGTGGGCATTCAGACAGTAAGACACACATCTTATGTACAGACGTTTAAACAAAGACAGATCACAAATCTTTTCTTGGCCAGGGTAACGTTGACACACATTAGTGGCATAGCACCACTAACAACACAGTAGCATGAAAGACATCAGGAATAGGACAAGGACCTGGAAACGCTGCTTAAAAATAACACTGAAAAGCATGAGTTCAGTGCTTTGCCTCCACCCTTCTCTGATCCTCATCCACCCAAACACACGCACACACTCATCACTCCTTCTTGCGCCTCTGTGGCTCTTCCGTCTCCTCCCTCCCTCTCTCCTTACCTGCACATGCTGGATTTCCGGGAGCCAGAACTGCTGGGGGAGGAGGGGGGTGTCTGGTAGGACCAGCTGTAGTCTGAGCCCTTCAGGTCCTTGATCACCTGAAACAGATCAGACACACACACTCACACCTGGGTGTAGAACCACTGTCTCCAGTTGAGTACTTTTCTATAAGTGGTATAAGCCAAACTCCTCTGTAATACTATTTACATTAGGGGTCTCTAACCCTGATCCAGGAGAGTCCCAGTCCAGCAGGTTTCATGCATAGCCTTTAAATTATTAATTTCTGAAGGTCTGGAACGATTTAATTATGACGGATTAGACAGGAGGAGTATTTAGTTAAGTGAGAAATCATCCTTCATTCTTCAGAGAACACCCTTCCCTTCATTTAAACATTACTTGCTTAATTGATCAAGTGCTGAAACAAGTGTTCATGATCTTTAAATAAGAGTATCTGATTTGGGGCTTGCCAGGAAATGGGATAGACTCCTGATCTACTTTATAGTAGTTCAAGTAGGGTAGTTCACCTGAAGAAGGCTCCACAGCTGAAACATTGTGTTTCTTTTCTTCTCTTTTCAGTATGGAATAAACCTTTACTTGTTGCTGATCTACTTTATGTTGGATAGGACACACAACGTCAAGCTAACACATACAGTACTGTTGTGTTTGTGTTTTCTCAACTGAGTGCTTGTTGCTGTGTTGTCTACATCTTCAGCTCTTCAAGTCTTCTGTCTTGAGGCTGTGTACTGTACAGTATGTCATTTTATACCACATTATGTTCCTAATTATATACTCTTCTACCTGGTCCACCTCTCTCCTTCTAAAGAGATGTAATCCTGAGCAGCCGAGTGTAGGAGAGTGTGAGGGCCTGTGAAGTACCTGCTCACTGGCTGGGGGCAGTTTGTGGGGGTCAGCGGTCAGCACAGTGAGGTCATCAATAATGGCCTGTAAGTGAGTGATCTCTCCCAGCATGGCAATTTCTCCATTCTGAGAGCAAACAGGGAAACAGAACAGAAAAGCAGGGACAAGGAGGGGAATCAGTCCAGCATAACACTGCATCCTCCAGGAATACAAACATATTCCATATTCCTGTCTTTGAAGAGACATTTTCCGCTTTGACAATAATGCATGCCCCTTCCCCCCCCCCCCCCCTGCCGACACACACAGTGAGCCTGTCAAAGATCAAAGAAAGACAGCACATTTAGGACACCAATGTAGTCTGCCATGCTCTCTCTTATAGTATATTCACTTCTGGCTTACATTAAAGCAATTCCCTAAAGGTGATCATTTCAGACAGAATATTTCTAAACATTCGAATATTTAATTATTTATGTAATACTTTATTCTGAAATGCAAATCGCTGCTGTTATTGAAGGATCTTCACTCTCTCAACAGAGTCATGTCCAGGTCTGACCAGTCCTGCTCATCCCTCTAGTTCCTGGGCTCTGTCCTGCTCCCCCTCCGCCTCCTCTCTCAGCCTCCTGCCAGCCCCAAACCCACCTCTAACTTCCCCAGTTTTCCAAGTCCCTGGAGGTCCCGTTGCCCTGCAGGGCCCTGTCGCTCAGTCGCCCCTACCCACAACCCCCCACGGCACTCGTTCTGTCTCACCACCACAGGCTGCAGGAGGCTGATGAAGGTGCAGAAGCGCCCCCTCTCCTCCACCAGGGCCCTGCGCACCGCCTGCTTCTCCGTCTCCTCCATCAGTAGGTACATATCATTCACATCCTGCAGGGCGCTGTCCAGTTGCGGCTGCAGGTCGCCCCTCCCTGCGGAAAGGGCCGTCGGGTGGAAGGGGAGGGGAGGGAGAGGATGGATGGCGAACAGCAGGATGAAACAACGAGGAGCAGAGAGAAGCCAACAGGAAAAGAACGCAAGAGAAAGAGGAAGAGAAAGAGAGGCGATTAGGACCCAGTGGGATGTCTGTGCCTGGAAGGAAAACCCCCAACCACTGACGAATCGCCGCGGACACAGAGAAATCAAAAATGATTCAAAAATTAAAACGCGAAGGGAAATTGAACATCAACAATGACAGAATGTTAGAAAAGGCGCAGATGTACTGTGAGAGGTTACTAAGGTAACGAGAAGAGGGTGATGGGGAAAAACGGAAGTCATTCAAGCCGCACAAGCAATCGACTGGCAGGGCGATGTCTGCCGCCATGCAGGAACACAAGAGACAACACGACGCTGCAGGACAGCCAGCGGGTTCCAGACAGGAAATGGGTTTGCAAGCTTCAAACACACACACCCCTGCACACAGAGCCCACGGCTCTTCTCAGCACAAGAGCGTCACATATACAGAATTAATCGCAACCTTTACGTTGCTTCCAAACAGAATTTGGCTTCTGTGTCTCTTTTGAGCTTGATTTCTTGGAAGGTAGTAATGCTCAGTTCGGGATTCTAATGTGAAATTTCAAGATGTTATGTAGTGCCAATCGTCAGTCGGATCCGGACTCCCCATCACCATGACACAGCATTCTTGTCTCATCATGGCTGATTCACAGGCACAACCCCAGCCACTGCACTTTAAGAACTTGAATAATGCTCACATTTTCAATTGGGTTGTAAATTCTGCAGAAATGTGCGCTTGCCTACAGTGAGTACTTGTGTGTCCAAACAAAATGATTGAAATCGTTACAGTACATCCAGCAACTGGAGTAGCATTCTTGTGGGAAATCCAGTTGCGCTCTGTTAAAGCCCCTGACTTGCTGGGATAGCTAAACAGCTCCTTTCTTTTAACATCCAACACTACATTAATAGGTCCAATTAAAGAATTTAAATGCAAAGCTGGTTGCCACAAAGCCTGCAGTGAAATGGACTGCAGGGGCTCTCTGTTGTGTTCTCAGGGTGTAAGCAGTTGCCTACTGGGGCTCTTCTGCAAATGAACAGCACACAATACATATTCAAAGAGTGAATAACAGGACAAAAGACTGTAACAATGCAGAAGAGAGTCATGCAGCTTAAAACTACAATCTAATGCTCTCAAAGAACACAGACAGACCACTTTTGATAAAAACCAGGAGTTATTCTTAGTGGTTTGTCAGTGAACCTCCAGGCTCTCTTCTATTGCTGTATTCGGCTGGTTAGACCTCGGCCTGTCTGCATGACCCGTTTGTTAGAAGACTACAGCTGGAGTGTCACTTACAAAGGATCACAGTGGATGTCTGGCAATCTGCACTAACCAAATGCACAGTGAAGCAAGCAAAAAAAAAGAATGAGAAACAGCAAAAACAAACCAGCGCAGGAGAGAACTATGTACATACTCACCCAAGAGTTCTAGAGAGAGGGGATATGCAGAAAGAGAAGAAGAACAGAGAAGCAGAGGAAGAGAGAGAGAAATAGAGTTTATGGGAGGAGGGCAAGGGTTCAGGGGTCAGGGAGGGAGAAAACAGCAGAGACAGGAGCTCAGTGTTAGGGTTAGTGGAAGGAAGCCATTGCATTGTCACATTGTGCCCAACGTGCTTCAGGAACGTTAGTGAAAATCAAAGGGAAAAAAATCAGATGGGCGATGCTTTCACTGCAGCACAGTCTTGAGGTGCCAATGGCCCCACTGACCAGAAAAAGCAAAAGGTTTACTGGCATCATATCATTTCCCATCAATTAATATGAGGCAAGGCAAACTGCAGGCAAAACCTTCACATACGTCGGTAAAGCACTTGTATTTCTGTATTTAGTGTGCTTTAGTAGAAAGAACTGTACTGGAAAAAAGCATTTAAGCATGCTTTTAGTCTTTAACCATTCTAACAAAGACTACAGTTAAACTCACTTTTGCAAAAGAAGTTTTGCGAACAAAGCAAAATAAATGGATTTGGGGGCGGAATACTACGAGCACATTTTTTCATATAGCTGTGAAATGTCTTACAATTTCATCCTTTGTTTTGCAGAATTATTTTCTTTGGGCAGGTTTACAATTGGCAGCTACTGTATTTTTATATCAAGAGACTGAAAGGGCAGCCAGAATTCTCCTATAGAAGCTAAAAGCAGTTTAAGAATGAAACCATGATGTATTGTATAGTCACCAAGAGAACAGTGCTGTTCAAAGTTGGACCAGCAGAGGGAAATGTTGCATAAAATAGCCACACTTTTGTCATTCTTTCCCTCCTTTGTGACTGGAGTGTTATTCCAGAGCGTCTGTGCCAGAACAGACAACAAGCCTATTCAGAGAAATTGACAGTGACAGGGCTCCTTGTATATGCTGACAAAGCAAGCAAAGTTATCATCCTCAAACATTACAGAAAGACAGACATCAGATCTGTCATCCTATTAACAAGAGGGATCCTGCTCCACAGTATTTTAGAAAAAAGAAAAACAAACCTGAAAATTTATAAGGAAAGCAACCCGGTCTGAAATCAGCTTCTAAACATACATCAACATTTTGAATATGTGACTACAAGCAGAGCCCCTTATAATGCATTCAGATCTTGTTTTTTAAAATTATTTTTCATCAGCAAATGAAAGAGAATAGATGCTTTGTTCGGACAGGATATGTCTCTTTACAAGTTCCACATTTTGTGTATTTTAAGAAATGCATGATAATTATATCTTGAAACATTCCGCTGACTACTGCTGCATTTGTAAATTGCAATCCTCACCACATTCCTTCACAGCTGTAACAACTTAACAAGAAAATACTGTAGGCTTTCATCATCAATTCAATATGAGCGTTTCTGGAAAGAAAGACTAGAGACTGGTAATGTGTATATTAAGAGTGTAGAACTGAAATATCCACCTAGCAACTCTTTCATAGAATGATGAACATAACATTACTCTTGAAAAAATGTAATCATAATGTGTATAGGGTGGTGGCAGATGAAAGTGCCAGTTAGCATGGCTATTTTAGAGCATGTGAGTTCTGGGTTTAATTCTGGTCTCTGGCACCTTCTGTGTGAAGTATGCAAGCTCTCTCTGTGCCCTAGGGGAATTTTTCTGAATACTTTGACTTCCTTCCAAAGAAGGCTCAGGTTAATTAGCATCTCTACAGCTGCTGCTGCATATTTGTGCATCACATCACTGTGATTCACTTAGGTTAAACTGGCGGATGAACATTTGCGTGTATGAAATCTAACTTCATTAATTATGTCTCATGTCTTAAGGGTTAAAAAACTGTTATGCTTTGCAACTGCTTTGAAAGCCGTAGTAAAGGAAGTTGCTTGGCAACACACCTTCCTGCTTGTTTAATGTTCAATGCCAGAAGGGGCAGTATGGATCAGCAGACTCTACTAGGAAAACAGCACCTACCTTTCCTCGCTTTCTTCTGGAGCTTCAGAGTGTCGGAGGACTTCTTCTTAATCTCATGACGAGCTCGTTTGTACTCTGGTGAAGAAATGCCAAATCGTCAGGATCAAACACACACTTTTCATGAATCCAAACATACATTGTCTCCTCATTTTAGGATGTTGTATATTTCCAGGTTTTTCTCTCCCTTGGGCACAAATGCAAGTGAAAAATCGGCCCTTCTTAATCTTGGATACAAAATCTGAAATGCATAGCAAGGATATTTAAAACCTGAAAACACTGCATTCTCAAAATTGTGCATATGCAGTAGTTCAAAAATTTGCAGTGTAGTACAGATTACCAAAAAAAACCCAGAATGATGCTACTACAGTACTTTCACCACAGTAGGACATGGAGTCATGCAGTGGAGCAGGCACCTTTGGCATGGTCCTTGTCCAGCTGGTTGGCAGTCTTCTTCCAGTCCTCTATACGGTCCTGGAGGGGCGTAATGAGGCTCTCCATCAGTGCACTGGAAACAGAGAAAAAGATCCCAGCTTTACCACTCTGCTCAGGGAGGGATTGAGGAACACTTCCCAATTTTCTAGAAAGTAAGAAGGCTTCAGGAAGAAGAAGACATGGACGGGACAATTAAATAGTAATGCAGGTGGCACAGGCCAGCACATGATAAACATAATCCCCCATTATTAAAACTAATTCAAGGCATGTGGCTATTCGATTTTCTCAACCTGGCAATCTCATCTGAAGACAAATGGAAAGAGAGTTGAATAGTTCAATGATGGAGGGATTAATGAGCAGAATAAGATTAGATACCTACATACATAACTAGAGATTACATCATGAGCACTGGGGCTCAATTACATCACAAGCTTTGCAAGGTGAATGTGTGAATAAGCAGCACTGAATCACAGCTGCATGCGCATAAGAGCAGTTTAAATCCTTCCTGTTTTGACAATGCCTGGAAGCCCTGCATACACTCCCCATGTCCTGGAGTCTTATGAAAACACAGGCTACACAGAAGCACTTCCTGCATTGGTGGCAAATCCCTTCTCAGAGGTAAAAATGCTTTGGTTCAGCTACTTTCAGAGAGGATAACCTGTTTGGGATGCAAATGGTGTTGTTTTACTAAATATGGAGACTGCTGCACCTTATCTTAGGTGAGAGGTGAAATATCAGCACCTGGAAGGGGTTAGTACTCAAGCTCACTCCCTTGACAAGTACAGTAGTTCAAAATGAAAAAATGAGTCTGGGACACACCATGGCAGGCTGGTTTGGGCTAAGGACAGTCTAAAATACGAATAAGTCCTGAGGTCAATTGGTGCTGTCAGGCCCTTGTCTCATCATCTGTTTTGTGAAAAAGATCTCCAAAGTCCTGTTTCATTCCCAGCATCACAGCCTTCTCCTTAATCCACAGAAGCATCAAAACACAGTGGTAAAGAACTAAAGTATTTCAGTGATTATATTAGGATATTAGTGTTTGTTTATATCATACCAACCACTCTTGCCAATGTGCACTCACATGCCTCTGAACTACCAAGAAGCATTATTTAATCACCTCAGCAATTTAAGGTAAGATAAAAATACTTTCTGACTTTGGTCAAAAATCTAAGTTTAAGATTAATTATGAACTTCTTCATTATACACATTCTTTGTCTCAGTCTCCAGTAGGGTTATTTATTTCTGACCAAAACAGGGGCGTAGAACTTTACTAACTGCTCATTCAGTACCAAGGAAATTCATAGAGGAATTAAAAGCAATGTGATCTGGTTTTAAAAAGTATAACGGAAAAACCTATGCATTAGAATAATTTTGGTTGCCTGTGAAAACGAATACAGATTTGTTTTCTCCATAATTGCAGTCCCAGTGTAACGCTCTAAAATATAATATTGTTGATGATAAGTTTATTCCAAAACTCCCTAAGATTTATTTTATTTTTGGCACATACAGTATGTAATCCCACACTCACTTCCCTCTCATTACATCTATGATCTTAGCTCGGTTATTCTTTAACAGTGTATTTTCCTTTGCCAATGAAATGTAAATGCAGTTTATCCTCATTAAAATGCTCCCTAATGTAAACAGGGAGAGTGAAAAGTAATGTCAGAATGAGTGCTTAATTTAGAAAAAGGACAAAAAGGCTCACATTGCCCATGTCATTAAGAGTCACGTCAGCGTGTAACTAAAAAGGGAGAAATATATTTAAATGTTAAAAAAAGTCTCTGAATGAAATTGCTCTTGGTTATTATTCCAAGATTTAAAACCTTAATCTCTTCTCTTTCAAATATGAAGCAAATAATAATATTTGGAGGAAACAGCTTCAAGAAGTTGTTATATTGTCTTGGGAGAAGTATTTCCCAGCGGGGTATCTTCACTCATCGTCCTTTCCTCTGTCTTAAAAGGTTAGATTTGCAAGGGCAGAAAAAACCTTAAAGTGACCAACTGCGGAGCCCTACGAAAACCAGGATGGTACAGAGTTCTTTTCTAAATAACATCGATTAGCAACGGAGCAGACGGATGACAATCCACAGAACGGGAGCTTCTTTTTTCAGAACGACTGGAAATATCCGGAGACGTATCGTCTCTGCGATGGGAAGACTCTTACTTGGTGAAGTGGCGCAGTTTGGCCTCAATGCTGCGGTGGCGCATGCACATCCGGGTCAGCGCTGAGCCAATATCCCTGGTGGCACCTGGGCAAAGCAAACAAGAACATTGTCAGGCTCAAGAGAGGTTAAGTACAGTTCAAAGTAGGCAGTCTTGCATTCAGGAGGGGGTAGTGGTTGGGGGGTCCAAACTCTGGACTAGAGGTTTACAGGTTCAAATCCCATGTGGGACACTGCGGTTGTACCCATGAGCAACGTACATCACTCTCATTGCTGTAGCAAATGCCCAGCTGTTCTCTAAGTTATCATTATGAAATGTGGATTTGAGCTCATTGGAATTCTCTGGTTAGATAAAGTTTTATATGAAGGCCATAAACATGGATCTCATTGGACTGCACCCTATTTTAATTTCACCAGCCACCCCTTTCAATCTCACACACCAGTGACAAAATGAGTAAGAATCTGAGCGCACTAAACCAGGACATGCCAGGAGGTGATACCGACTGCAGATATAGAGGCTAACAGACAGGGAAGCCACATTTTGACTGAAGGCTAATTTGTATAGGTTATTATATTCAGATTGTGCCCATTTTGGTGATTGAAACTAGTAATAGATCTCAAGTAGCCTGCATGACATTGCATCTCATCTCAAAGCTTACCAAAGGCCTTTAAACTGGATTCTAGGATCAAATGGGATTTATGAAACAAGACAAGGTATCCAGGGTTAATCTGTTATGTTAAAGATGCACAGTGTTGTCACCTTGTCTGTCTCTGTGCCACTCCCTTTGAGAGGCCTTTAAGAGGTCTGACAGCTGCGAGGCTCAAACAGGAGTAGCCTGCTTCCTTAGCCAGGGCCAGTGACCCCATGAAGTGAGAGATTATACACAGCCTTTGCCAGGATTACTGGCCAGACATAACCCCATTCTTGGAAGTACAGAGAGTAGACCTGAGCTACTGTAGACAAGTGGGAATGACATTACACCACCCTACCACACCTTGACTGGAAATAAAAGTAACACCATGAACAACTTTTACCTATTAGTGAAGGATTGTGTGGGTCGAATGACAGCAAGCCACCCTCAATAAACTGAAAGAGGATAATATAAGTACAGAGAGCAGAACAAAATCCTTCTGTGTACAGCATTATCCCAGTTGCTGGTGTGCTTCTGATGAGTGTCATGTACAATCTGCATATCACAAAGTGCCTCTGTACATAGGCTGAGGTATGTTTGTTTCCATCAAGCGTTTACCTGTTTTCACCAGTAGCTGGAATGAGAAACATAAACTCCCTGAAAACGCCTTCACAGTGTGTTATGTTTAGATCCAGGCAGAATTTAAAAGAAAAGGCATCAAAATCATACACAGGAGACGAAGGTGCGAGGTACATCGGGGTAGTATGATGCAACAGTTCAATAGTTCATCTACACCAGCACAACAAGCACTTTCTGATCTCTAGAGCCCCTTGTTTGTGTCAAGAGGCAGCTTCCTAAATCCCATCAGCCTTATGCAGCAATTGTTAATGGGCAGGATCCCCCCCCACCTGAAACTCGCATGAGGACAAAACTAAACTGAACAGGATCCAAGTGAGAAAAGACAATGTTTTCCAAGATAATAACCCCCCAACCAGCCCGACCCTCATCTCCCACCAGGTTCTCACACAACACACACAGCAGAGGCAAAGTGCTTCCCACAGAGAGAAGTATTAACTCACCTCAGCTCTGCTTCCCCCAGCTTCTCCTGGCTTCGCAGGCAGCCTTAACCACACAGCTCTAGTAACACTTGCTCTGTACCAGAGTAAACTCCATTATTAACACCTGCCTCGTCTGCCGAAAGCAGCAATTCATTAAATTTCCCGGGAGAAACAACATCAAGCAGACAGCCTCTCAGAGACAGCGCACAACTTAGAACAGCAATAAACTAAGAAACAGCATTGCTCTGTAGAGAGGTGAGACCACCTGCAGCTTTTATGCCTTAAATACATCTGTAAGTATAAATCTGCAGCACAATATTTTCCTATCGTTGCTGACTGCACCCAAATGTATTTTTTATTAGGCCCTGTGTTTTGCAATCGATAAAGCATTGCTCATCTATGCAATTCGTTTCAAGGACTCACTTTTTTGTATGAAGCTCACATCTCTCATCATAAAATTAAATTAACATTATATCATTTTCACATTATTTTAGTATATTTTAGTTAGATTTAGCACACCATAAATCTGTTCAAACAATGAGGTGCTCCTGAACAATTTTAACTTTAAAAGAAGGACTATAAACTGAACTACATCATGAGAATAACATTTGATTGCCTTTTGTACAGGCACCTAAGTTGATTTGTATATACATGTGTGCATATTACTGTTTGTGTTCTTCCTCAATTTACATTTTAGATTGTGATATATGTATAAAATATAATGAAACTTGACATTGGGATCTTCAACACACATCCAACATAGTGATCACCTTTTCAATCGAGTGTAATGATAATAAACTTGAAACTTGAACTTGAACTTTTAAGATGAGGAGCTACTGTATGTTGTACGATCATGCCTATTTCTGTGCAGTTCTCTTGTTAAATAGCCAGCAAAAAACAGACTCAAAAGAATTAATAATAAGAAACACTATTTGCTGGTCATCTATCAGTCCTAGGGTTTGTTTACCTTAGTCTCCTTGCTAAGCTCCCAGCATGCCTCAGACAGACAAGGGGATATTGATTTTTCTCATGACATTTACTCAGCAGAACCATCCCAGGCTTTTCACTTGCTTATAGGGAATAGGGACTTAAAAGCAGCAAGAGGGAAATGTAGAGAGGGAGGAAGATACCGACTGCAGACAGGAATGATTCCTCATCTTCCTTTGCATTAACGTTTCCCATGTCATGTGCATTTCGGCTGTCACCAAATTGCAATCCGTGAAGCCGACTCAAACAGCAAGAAAGAGCCCTAAAACATGAACTTACTTTCTTCACCTCCGCAGTGAATGAAGCACTGAATTTCCCCCTTTCTGTACAGTAATAACAGTCACGTGAGAGACTCAGGGAGGCGAGACATGAAAACACCAGGCAGAGTTTTAATCTTCCTGGGGTGCTTCTGCGGGTAGGAAGCTGATCTCTGCTGGGGTTACTCACTCGCCAGCTCAGCTCTTCTCTTTTTTACACCACCCTGCTTACAAGCCAGGAAGCAGAAACTCATCAGCATTCCTAGCCTGCTATAAGCGCTCACACACACACACGAACAGTAGCACTAAGGGTGCAGTTTCTGAGATTTAACACCGTGCTTCACACAGCTGCTAAGAACTACACAGAAAAAAAGCTAAACTAAGATATTTAATCTTTTCAAGAAACCAGCCCCAAACAGCCACCATTTAATCTTGCCCAACACATTCTGCTTGATTTTTTTTTGGGCAACCAGTAATGCAATATTGCCTTAGGCTGACTTTTTCATCTTCAAGCCATGTAGGCCTATTTTCTGCTGATAAGGGTTAGGTGAGTGACTGAATAGGAGTAGCTATTGGCCATGCTTGGAGCAGCAAAATCTAAACCAAGACAGAAATTGAGTCCTTTATTAAAACACACCACCGAAAAATGTTCTAAACATTTATTCCCACATTTACCAGCTATTTTTTTATTTTGGGAGGAGTAATTGTTTATTTAAAAAAGCAGCAGAATAACTTTTACAAAGCCTTAAATTGACTCTGCATGTATTGAAGATCTAGGAAAATGAATTACACCCATCTGGCTGGAAATGTTGCATGTGATGGTACGTGATAATTCACACAAACAGGAATTAGAGGGCTACTCAGTAGCCATTATAATAGGGCTGTTTATGAGCTCTAATAGAATGCATAGCCTTTTAATAGATGGATCTCTTGCTATGGCTCAGTGCCTCTTTCTCCATTAATACTTATCACAAACAACAATTACTGCACATTAGCTTGCTGTCCTTGCTCTACACTTTAAAAAACTACATGACATAATCAAACTGGGGTATATCCTTTTATTACAGCCATCCAGGTAGCTTTGCACTGCCTACTTTTTTCTTGTTCCGTGTACGTACCAGAAAATAAAAAGCCTAGGACAACCCACTCAGCAGTGTCCTAAATTCTGTCCAGACAATCTGTCTCTTGAATCCCACCTAGATGCTAGATTGGTTGTTATACCACACTTCTGAAACCTTCTGAAGGAGGAACAGGACAGCTTTGTACCAGATATGTGTCAGAATTCACAGGGAAGAGTCAATAACAAGGGCATTGCTGCTTTGCTGTGCTGGGACCCCACATTCAATTCTAGACCAGACCTGGGGAGCTGTTTGTGTGGAGTTTGTATGTTTCCCCCTTTTGGCCCAGGTTTCCTCCAGATGCTCTGGTTTTCTCCCACAGTTCTAAGCCATATTGGTATGGCCCTGGTGTGAGTGTGTTTGTGACTACCCTGTGATGGACTAGCGTCCCTTCCAGGGTGTACCTTGCCTTGGGCCTTTTTCTTGCTGGGACTCCCCCCAACCCTGATTTGGAAGAAGCGATTAGTTAATGGATGGAGTCAGTAACAGGGTTGCACTGCAACTGCAAGGAAGGGCACATGTATGAACTCTGCAACATCTGCACATTTGCCTGTATAATCCTACACATTTATTCTCATTCATTCTTCTAAATCCCCTCCCTCCCCCCAGACTCCGTGCCTTTTGTCAGCAGGGTGGAGAGCAGAGGCCGTGGGGTTTAGGTGGAATCAGACATGCAAAAGGCATAAACCAGGGAAAACCATAAAGATTAAATGCATCCAGGATCAGGGTGGTGGTTTAGAGGGTAGACAGTAATTGAGGGCTGTAGTTGGAGTCTCCCTAGCTGCTACATAACTGTGCTGTTAATTAGAAGCTGCTTGGTTTAAATTAGAGACAGAAGCAAGCCAGAAGGTTGAGATTAAAGCATGAAGGGTTAAAGTCCTACAGAATGCAAAGGAACAAGTAATAGGTTTATTCCATGCTGAAAAAAAGAAGTGTCACCTGAAGAAGGCTCCATGGCCGAAACGTTGTGTTCTCTTTCTTCTTTTTTTCAGCATGGAATAAACCTATTACTTGTTCCTTTGCAGCCTACGCATT